GAGAGTGTGATAAAAATAGTGGAGAGTAATTGCAGTGGTATGGGGAAAGTATTGTGGAGAGTAATTGCAGTGGTGTGGGGAAAGTATTGTGGAGAGTAATTGCAGTGGTGTGGGGAAAGTATTGTGGAGAGTAATTGCAGGTGGTGTGGGGGAAGTATTGTGGAAAGTAATTGCATGTGGTGTGGGGAAACAAGCTATGGGAGTGGAAAGCAGCAAGTCTGGGCTTGTGACAGGTACGTAGCAGCTAAGGCATCTATAACATCCAGCTATCACAGTTACTGTTAGTAATAGATTAGAGCTGTGAAACACATTGGGGAAAATACAATTTTTTCCTAGTAATCACTATTGCATTATGAACAATAAGAAATTTCAGGATCCAATAGAGTTGATTGATTCAATTCATCTAGGTTTAAGAATTGGTAGATTTACGAGTGTTTATCACAAAGTGAAAATGACGCCTTAGAAAGAATGATGCCAAGACTCGAAATAGACTTATTTTCCATTGTGAACAAAAAATAGCAAAATTGCTCATAACCAAAAGTTTTCTTTTTTTATACCTACCTATATAAGTAATGTGGTGCTGTAGAATACATAATGCAATGTCAGTTTTGAATTAGCCAAATTTGGCTAGTAGCTTATTTTACAAGTAGAGGATTCTTACAGTAATACAGGTACAGTTTATACTTTACTGGGATTTTGAACTCACAACTCATTCTCACAGCTCCAATTTCCAATCGTCATTCTCAATTCTCAAACACCTGGAACCTTGCCATTATGGCCAAAACTGAGACAGAAAACTGGAATTGATTACACAAAGACTACAACACACGGTCAAAATTCTGGTTCTCAGCCATCAGCAACTTGGCATTGAGGCAAATGAGGGATTTGTAATCTTAATTCATTTCTAATTGGAGAATAAAATTAAAAATTTTAATCAAAATCCTATTTATGTAAAATACTCAGAAGTTCAGAACTGTAATCACAGATAAAAATTGGAAATTTCCTACCTACTACTGAAATCTTGCATCTCCAGACTGACATTTCCAATAAATTTGAGACTTGTTGCATGATAAGTTGATCATGCACTATTGACTATTGAGATGTGGTACTTGTACATTGTACTTGTCCTGGTATATAAGTAAAGACATCTAGCAGGAATCTTGTAATTCTCATGGCTCCAGAAAATGGCATGAAAACTCTCCTTCTGGCTCAAAAAGGTAAAATGATAATGAAAAATTTAAAACTTTCAAAAGTAACAAACTAACATGTAACTTTCTAAATCTAATAGATAGTTCTTCAATCATGTAGGAATGCATGTTTAATGTTTGTCAGTCAAGTTGCAAATGAACAGATTATCTAATTTTGGAGCCACAACTGGGTAGCCTATTATCCTCTTTTTTCAGTTTATGGAGTATCAAAATTCTTACAAGATGAATTATCTTGCATACCATAAAATGGGGTTACTTTGACCGGCAGGGTAACTTTGACCACTTTTCGTTTTTTTTAACAAAACCCCAAAAACTCAAAAACTATCTAACATAGAAAAATTTTGTCAATGGCCATCAAATGCCTAATACTGAGGCTACACAACACAATAGAAAGATTTAAAAAGTTTGCATATCTAATAGGTAAAAAAATTAATAATGTGACCCACGAAAAAAAAAGCTATTATTTAAAGCCTGTCAGAGTACCCCCTCCAATTTTTTTATTTTCTGGTAAAATAACTCCAGGTTTTGATGCATTGTGGAATTTTGTGGTAGAACTCTTCTAGTTACATATGCAAATGACAAATTTAAGGAAAATGTCTTCATTTGCAAATGGGGGGCACCACCCCCCAATGGGGGAACTTTGACCACCTAATGGCAGCCGTGACGGGGTAACATTGACCGGCTTGGAAATTAAGTTAAAATTACCATAGGTAACTATATAACATATTTTATGTTTGATACACCTATTAATGTTTTTTCTTCATATTTCAGACTCTACAGAGTCTTATATATGGTAATTTTAACTTAATTTCCAAGCCGATCAATGTTACCCCGTCACGGCTGCCATTAGGTGGTCACATTTTGCCCATTGTAGGGCGGCACCCCCAATTTGCAAACTATGACACTTCCCACAAATTTGTCATTTGCATATGTAACTAGAAGAGTTCTACTAGGTACAATGCACCAAAACCTGGAGTTATTTGGAGTCATAGTAGCAAAGCAGAGAGTTTTTTAGACTCTCCCTCAAGTTCATTTTTGAGTCCTATAAGTAGACCAGTAAAGTATCCTGGATACCAGTATTATCATACTTAAGAAATTGGTTTAAATCTTGAGTAAATGAGGAAATTAAAAATGAACCGATTCTAAAAAAGCTCTGGTTTGCCACTATGTTTGGAGTTATTTTACCAAAAAATTAAATTGATTTTACCACCCAGTCAAAGAAACCCCAAGAGCTGGGGTAACAAAGACCATCACTTTTTTTGAAATTACATCAAAAGTATGAGAGTCAGGAGCCAGCAATTTATGGTGAGTAAAGCTAGAGTATAGACCTGTAGGCTGTATTTTGCATGTTTCAATTAAGGTTTAACTTATCTAGTAAAAAAATTGCATCATTTTGAAAAAAAGTGGTCAAAGTTAACCCATTTTACGGTATAATAATTGTTGAATATTGTAAACAAGCAACAGCAACAAGCAACAGCAACAACCAACAACAAGCTTTCAAATTTACTAAATCCCATACCGTAGCCTATCTCCCCCAAAAAAAAAAAATATGTCACTGAAATTTGACCAAGTTCCAATAATTAACCATACAGGCTAATAACACATTTATATAGTATACATACAAATTTGTAGAGTACCTACAGGCTACATTCTATAAAAATAAACACAGAGCCAAAGCTTATTAGCATTTAGCAGCTATTTGACTAAACTGGCACCCGCCACCCGGCACACACTGTTAGACTTTTACTAACAAGGTAATGTTTGAAGTTTGAACTTTAAAATTATTCATTTCAGTGGTTTGATAGGAAAATTGTTGATTGATAGGAAATTGCCTAGGAGTCACCATTGACCATACCGTAGTGCCTTTTCATTGATCCAATTCAATTGATCATATAAAATGAATAGGCATTGAATGAATACACAACCCACTGGCACATTTACAATGAAACAATTACAGTTTATATACCTATCATGAACATAAAATTTTAGGTTTATTCCTTGCAAATTGATGTTGCATTGAGCAAAATTGGTTTGAAAGTCATCATCACAAATTCAAATTGACACTTAGCTTCGATAATAGTGATCAATTTTTTTCTATATCTCTATAAGGATAACATAATAAAATCGAGAATCGCTATTTATCGGAGTAGAAATAGTGCAACCACTTTAAATCAGATAGATGAAGCCATATAGGCTAATCGACGCTTCGGATGATCGGAACTGAGAGCGACTCATTTTCACTTCTAAGCCTACGAATCCCGCGAAGGCGTATGCTGACCGCTGACGGTGGCTTACTGAGTGAAGTTACTCCACCCACGTGACTATTCCCTCATTACAATAGAGCTCCCAGACAAATGATTGTCGGTTCCAAGACACTTTCGATCATAATATTACCACAGATTGAAAAATTTCGATATAATTGTTTTTTTTTTTTTAATTTCAGCGAATGGTGATTACAGAGAAAGTTTATTCACACCGGCCGTCCGATTTTTTTTCTTCGGCGAAATCACCAATTTCGCAATTTGAATTGTTTGCAAATAAATGTTGCGTATCTAGGGATTAATGCAAGCTAATTTTTTGTACGTGGTAGAATGAAATAAAAATTGAGACAAGAAAGTTTTTTTTTCAAATTTACAATATATTAATACACGTCATACATATATCAACATGCGTTAACCTTTTTTTTGTAACAGCGATGCAGCATCTTGTTCAGTGTTCACTGTTACGTTATATATCATATAATCTTTTTTTATACAGGTTTTTGTGTTGCCTCACGTTACTTCTTCACATCAACTGATGATAGTCTTAGCAGAATGAGTTAGCAGCACCACTTTATTTGACAAATGCAAGATAAATTTAATTGATCAAGTTAACTCAATTAATTTCCAAAAAAATTAAAAGTGCGCAGAAACATGCAAATATAATTTATATCATCTAGCTCTGAATCATTAATCATGGACCAAGTATGGTGTATATTATGTGAATATTCTAGACTGCTCTACTCAGAATATACTAGATAGCTTGAGCACATTCTGCGCTCAATTTACAATTCACGGGAAAGGATGACGGAGAAGATGAAGAACTATAATAAAGAACGGTCATTAACGCCCAGTGTTCATAGTGGGGAATTGAAGATGGTATGGGGAAAGTATTGTGGAAAGTAATTGCATGTGGTGAGGAAAGTATTGTGGAGCGTAATTGCAGGCGGTATGGGGAAAGTATTGTGGAGCGTAATTGCATGTGGTGTGGGGAAAGTATTGTGGAGAGTAATTGCTGGCGGTATGGGGAAAGTACTGTGGGGAGTAATTGCAGAAACTGACAACTTGTAAAAAAAGACTTGGGTCAGTAAACGGGAACGATATATTGATGAAAATGATGCGCAAGCTCTTCTTACACACTTAGACCGAGAAGTAAGATGTTGAAACCATATTACATTGTTTGTACACCACTGTATGTTATAATTTTATTCCAGTATTTTTATTATACTGATGTGTGAAATGGAATTATATTATTAGTTTGCCTTTTAACCGCAAAGCTTTACGATAGATACGTCACTCATAATCAACACGGGGAAGAACGATCACATTATTTGCAGCGCTGCTACAATTCAAGGTCAATGTGGATGGCGCTATCATATTCAACTTTCATATTACCTATTGCAGTCTCACAATTGCTTCTATAATATCTATATCTTTTCCAAAATGAATTTGAAATTTAACCATGGCTTCGGAAACATGAATCAGTCTAATAGGAATTAAGTTAATTCAAATGACCCGGAAAATTAAAGTAAAATTAATGTGGCATATTTAATTAGAAATAGATCGTTTGACACTTGTATAAACCAGGGCTCGTGCTATTTAATTCACATAAAACGACAACAGAGATGGTCTATTCAATGTAAAAGCATCAAAAAGACTTAGTTCCAGTTTTAAACTAGAAGACAAACGATTTTGTATCGCTAATAAGCCAATATAGTCAAAAGTCAAGACTCATGAGAGATGTGACGTGGTAAGACATCGCGATGAGTTATTTCTCCAAAACAAGTCCTAGAATTAAAGTTATCGATATTGCAATTAATTTCAGACGTGGCACTAAACTGCATAGTTAAATAAAGAAAATAATTAACAGATCTACGAATCTTTGCATTATACGTTGCTTGTTATTCCAGGAAGTGCAAAGATGTTAAGTGAACATCAATTTTCAAGTGTCTGACAAACTCCGGTTATGTTGAGAATTTGGATAAATATAGATGGTTTAAATTTCGATGGTACGGACATTTCATTACTCCCAATGAGGCTCAATATCTCGGTAGAAATACAAACCTTTAGTCAAATCTACTTTATCAATATTGTTGGTGTAGTTCAATCTTTTTAATATGTCTCGATACTCAGCAGCATCTTCTTGTATTTTGTCTGCACCTGCTTCTGCAACAAATGGATAAAATGCTTTTCGGTAAGAAAATGTCCTAAAGCCGGAGGTTTTTTTGCTAACATGTTTCTTCAATCCCAGTTTGGCGAGATGCCAGTGGAAATATTTGAAAAGAAGAGGGTTTAGCATGCCGGCAGAGCAAGATGGCGTCACAATCAGCAATAAACCGCCAGGTTTTAGAAGTTCACTGGCCTTCCGACAGCACTCGAGCCGCGCTTCGGGACAAGGGATGTAATCAAGCATCAGAGAGAACACTACAGCGTCGAAACTCTCGCAGGGCAGACGCTCGATCGTCGGCGTGCTGTCGCAGTCGGAACTAGGGTCCTCAGACGAGGCTAGTTCAGGAGGAATGTCACAGTCGCTGGGATCAGCAACTTCCAATTGCAAGAAGTCGCACTTGTAGACGTCCTAAAAATAAGTGTTTTGGATTTAGGAATTTTATGATACATCGACAAAAAACAATGACAGTACTAATGACTTTTTAGGTTATAATGATGACAATCATGCACTTATAAATTACTATCCAGAAAATACACTAATGAGCAGTAAGAAATTTGACAAACTCAGCAGAGAGGTTTAAATAATTACCTATTTGACCAATGAGTTCTCTATGCGAGATGCAGGTGTTAGATACTTATATTCTACAATGGTATTGTATGCAGAGTTCAAAATTTGGATTCAGTCTCACCCTGAATCAGAATGGTTTCGGCCAAAATTTTCTTCGCCTAATACAGTCTCTTATTATTATACAGTCTCTTATTATTATACAGTCTCTTATTATTATACAGTCTCTTATTATTAGGGAGTTATAGGTATGGCGAGCGCTAACACCAGAGATTATTAGGGAGTAACACGTATGGCGAGCGCTAGCACCCGAGATTATTAGGGAGCAATACGTATGGCGACCGCTAGCACCCGAGATTATTAGGGAGTAACACCTATGGCGACCGCTAGCAGCCTAGCACTTGAGATTATTAGGGACTCAACTGACTTTGGTGGCGGGCATGAGGTCGATGGGTGTCACCAATAGCTTTGGATGCCGGCCTAGGGGGTTGTAGCAGCTGCCCACGTCCAGCACACGTACTCTGCACAGCACGGATCAGGTCAGTTACGAACCTCTGATCTGATATTTGAACGAGAAATTAAAAGACAGTGAACTGTGCTGCTTTCAAAGATACAGGAGAAATGACACCATAGGGAACAAAAGATTAAATCTAAGAGTGATGGAGATTCGAACCCTATGATGACATTTTTAACTAAACATTAAAACTCGACAAACTGAAGATCAAATCTCAGCTAACTAGAAATTAAAATCAAGATTACTTAAGACTATAATACAGTTCGTGTTAAAAGTAAATTTCGAAGAAAATTAAATTTTATCACGCAGCCTAACTACGAAGTCATCCAATCCCGACTAATCTTCATATTATGTTTCACACATTTTTCTCCCCTAAAATAATTTCAAGTTATAAAACAAATGTTTTTTATTAGGTCACAATGTATTTGAAGTTATTTACAGCCAAGCTAACCTCGCTCTACATGTAATTACCTGTCAGTTTCAGAGAAACGTCGACTCCAAAAATTTCCCGTGCCCCCAATAGCGTTAAAAAAGCTGTTTCCTCTACTGGTATCCACGTCTAAATCCTCTTTGATAAATTGCAGCTCGGAATTGATCATTTTGGCGAGCATTTCGCTCGAGCACGACGAGTCTTGGGAGTTTAATTGACTCTTGATGATCGGACGCAGGGTGGTCTTGATGCGCTGCGTGAGCTCCTCGAGCTCCTCTTGCGACGTCGTCATATCGCTCATATGCCGCGTTGCTAAACGCACTTCGTCCTCGAGCGCCTTTACGTTTTCCCCTTCCATAAAATATTTATTTAGAATTCTCCATAACCAAATGTTACGACGCTCTGGAGAACTTTCCTGAAAGGAGATTGGCTTGGATCATTTATCAGAAGCAGTGCAAGCAGGACTTAAATTTGTTACGTATTTCAATCTATACAGTTAGAATGTATGGATCACATATAAATCTCAGGCATACTTTAACATGAAAAACAAGTGGTTATACGCTGCTCTTAACCCAGTAATTCTGTCCGTTTCATACCCCATATTTTATGTATCAGATTTAAATGTTCCACATGAGCTAAATCTCACTCCAATGCATCATACCTGGTAAGTCTCGCATGAATCTCAATACACAATTAACCGTTCTTTGATATAAGATACCTGAAAATCTCCCTTCAATGCCCCATGTGAGGAAGTCATCAAAATAACTGAGAATGGTAGAAATCAAGGTCGAGCCTAGGACTATTGAGTAAATCTGTCCCCCCTGCAAAGCACACTTGGCTCTTCAGCTGCAGAGCTATTCCCAGCTACGAGCCTGAGTACCACAATCTTGAATTCCATATCTTTTTATAATTTTGTAACTAACCAACGTGATTTAAAAAATGCCCAGTTCTAACAAACACAAAACTTGCATACAAGTCCCATTATAAAATTTGAAGTAAATGTTCACTTTTTTACCGGAAAAAATGCAACGTACTAAATTAAAAATTGCATTTACATTTCATAACTCACCCTGCACCTTTCTTGTCTTGAAACACTTTAGGCTTGGTTCAAACCATCCTGCTGGTCGCGTGCCAGTCACGGCCCAGTCTAATATCTTTTAATGTATTTCTATATAAGCATTCACCAGCCGGGCAAGGCACCTGCCATGCCAGTCGCCGTCCAGCCACAATTAAGGCAAAAGTTATTTTGACTGGGACGTGACTGCAGCGTTGCCAACTTATTTTTTTTTTTTGCCAACTATACCAGATTACCAGCTTAACATACCAGATTTTATCAAATACACCCAATCAAAAATACCATAATGGACACCATCTCAACAAACCAGATTTGTCACCAGTTGTTAATGCTGCAGTGACTGGCTTTCCAAGTGATACAAAAAGAGCTGAAGTGAGCACGACTTATGACTGGACTGAACATGAGAATACACCTTTCAGGGAACGGACCGTGACTGGCATATGCCCGGCAGTGTGATGTGAACCAAGCGTAAGTGGTTGAATTATCAGGCTTGATTCACATCATAATGCCCAATTACCTATCCTAGATAAGCGCCCCAACAGCCTCTGCATATTTGCATCAACAGGCTTCAAACACACAAAGGGACAAAGTAACTTTGAGGAATATATATTAGAATGTTGGTGATCCTTTTTGCCATGACATATAATAATTTGTCTTGTTTCATTCTTAGTGTAGAACTGGACGGAGGTAAATTCCAATAATTCCTCCTATCTTACAATAACCGGGTTCCATTGTCAGCTCATTTGCTCCTTACAATTAAATCCAAAAAGATAACGAAGACCACGTATTTCTAGATTGAACCAGATATAACTTTTATTTAAAACCCTCAACAGCTAAATGAAGCTATAATACCCCATATATGACCTGATAAATCCCAATTTAATACCTCATACCTGATCTCTTGATATCCCACACCCGGCCTGATGAATCTTGCTTTGATACCACTTACCTGATATATCTCTTTTCAATACCCCATACCTAACCTTATAAATCTCTCTTCAATACACCATACCTGACAAATTTTTCTTCAATACTGCACCTCTGATGAATTTCTCTTCAACGTCGTACACCTGACAAATCTCTCAATAAATAATACCTGACAAATCTCTCTTCAATACTGCACCCCTGATGAATTTCTCTTCAAAGCGGCACACCTGACAAATCTCTCAATAAATAATACCTGACAAATCTCTCTTCAATACTGCACCTCTGATGAATTTCTCTTCAACGCAGCACACCTGACAAATCTCTCAATAAATAATACCTGACAAATCTCTCTTTAATATTGCACCCCTAATGAATTTCTCTTCAAATCAGTACACCTGACAAATCTCTCTTCAATACCCTATACCTGATAAATCTCACTTTGTTTAGTTCCCAGTGTCGTCGTATCGCGAGCATGGCTGCAGCATAGTCAGTGAGCAGCGAAGTGTCGCTGGTGTGACGTGACCAAATCTCATCAAACGCTTTATCTGAGCACAAAATTATGTATATATCGCACACAAATTATCTCACCTAAGTATCAAAAATTTAAATTCTTGAATAAATAGCTATTCTTATCATTAAAAAATCTCATCATGGGGATAATAACTCAAATTAAAACTCCCACAGAATAAAAAAACACAGGGTAGTATAAGACAACAATACAATGCAAATAACATTGCAGCTCAACAAACAATCTTTTAGGCATGTTGATCTAAAACAACTTATCACTGCTCTACAATTCTGCTCGTATTTACCTAACCACATGATTTTTGAGATGTTATATAGATACCATGTGAATTAAATTATTGTTAGAAATTATTCTATTTTTAATTATTTATACAAAGGGCCTTTGATTATAATTTAGAAAGCATGAACTAAAACTGTGAGTGTAAATCAAGCATTAGTTTAATACATATGCAAGAACGAGTGCAAAATCATCATGGAACATCAGCTACCATATTATTGGCAATTATTGATACTACTAGGCATTCATTTCTGATGTATCTAAGCTGTCAGTATTTGCAAACTTCATTATGATTTCTCCATGGATTAATCTTCGAACATGTTTTTGTAAATTTTAACATCTTATTCTCTGGTGATCAATTCTCCTCATTCATGTCATAGCCATATGTAAATTCTTTGCCAAATCCCATTGGGTATGGAGATAACAAGAAATCAGTTCAAAAAATGTCCAATCATAAATTTAGAATACAATAAACTTGACAGACATGCTGTTACTCATTTTATTCCCCAATTACACTATAGGTATGACATTTTAGCTATGATGAATGATACATGTCAGGTTTGATTGGGTTTAATAGTAATTGAAGTTGGACATATACTGGTATAGATAGTCTGTTTGTCATTAGTATTTAGTTACAACAGCAAAGCATATTATACCAGTTGCATTAGATCATCCAAGAAGTAAGGTCTTTACCATGCAAACTCTTTCTGTCTAGCAACTTTATTTTCTCCACCCATATTTCTAATAAAACCAAAATTTATACTTCATTATGAGGGACAGGGGGTTGCAATAGTGATACCACAAATATTGAAACTAAAACCCAACATTTCCCCCTTTCTATATCTTTCAAATATTTTCAAGTTAGTAATTTTTCAAACATTGTAATGGGCAGGAAAAATTTTTTCAATACCTATTAAGATGCTCAGAATCACAAAGAAATGAAGATAGAAATGGGGTATTCCTTAGTTGTGGAAGCAACAAAATGTCACCTACACCCAAGGCCGCAGTGTTTGCCCATGTCAATTTTAGTTAGATGCATAACAAGCATAAATATTTATCATCAGAGAAAAATGTGTTATAGGTATATGATGAAGCAAGATCTAAAAAATATGCAAATACTATTTCATTATAATCAATAAGATTCAACATGCGATTACTTTAAGAACAACCACGAACATACTGTTGACATTATGAAACTCACTATTAGCTTAAATCATCTATAAAATTCGATAAAATTTCCATTGAAATCACAATGATTATGCCAGAGCATGTAAACATCAGAGCATACAAAGTCAAACACAGATTGTGTCCATTAACATTAATTTGTTATCTAAGTTTATAGAATTGCTGCAATGGATATCAAACAACCCTGGTCTTCAATTTATTTCATCCTAAGTTACCTTGCAGCCACTCCATCTTGAGTTTCCTGTGAGTGTCACGCAGCACAAATGCCAGGTCTCTCAGACTCTTGCCTTTCAGGGCCAAACTGCACAAAGTTTATAAAGGTAAAGTAATCAATGCATAAAATAATGACTTTAATTTGAAACAACAAAAATGTCTCAACTTCAGATAATATAAACTAGAAAACTGTGTACATTTTTGTATTCATACTCCAATTTTTTCAAGAGTATCACTTACTCAAATCTTTTCCATCTTGCTCATGCCATCTTACTCATATGGCCTGAACTTCAACAGTTAAAAAATTAGCCTCTTATTTGAGGAAATGGTACCCAATGAATAAATAGTATAGATTTTATATATTATTTTACTATAAATTTTATATTCACAAAGCGTTTTTAGAAGCTAAATTTCACCTATAGCATCTCATAATTTACAACAATGTGTGAAAATTCCACATTTCCACTTACCTAAGCTCCTCAGGAGATGCACTACATGAAATTACAGAGGTGTCAGGATTCTCACTGCATTTTGAAAAGAATAAAACCCCACGTGATGGCTTTGTCCATGCATTGCTTATCTTGATTAACTTCAACATTACAATCAATAAACCCTTCTTGGTCTAAGAAAAAGCTTATCTGGAAAATAAGAAACCAAATATACATAGATAAATGCTTTGTATATGAAAATTTCTTGCAAAGATTCAAGGTCAAATTTAGGAATAATTGAACTTGCAATAACACTTCTACAATTTTCTTAAACTTATTCATGATTAATTAATTTGTTTGATAATATAATAGAGGCACAAAATTTGCCATGTAGCTATATTACTATTTTTATACCATATGCCTTTCAATTTGTGCAGCTTTAACTCCTCCCTCAAATTCTTATTGCAAGTCTTGCTGAGATTGAATACCACAAAAATTGTTTTGCTATAGTTTTAGTGCTTTGATTTAGGACTTTGGAGCCAGTTACTGCTAACCAGGTCAAGATAACTCCTACTTTTTTTCTGAAATATTGCAACTCTCATATCATATAATTTCAGTTTGAATTAGAGCTTCATTAGAGCTGTGTGAAATCTCACAGCTCTAATGTCATGTATTTTTGCTTGATTGAAAAAATAGCAGTTTGCACTTTGCAAACATCATGAAATAGGTATTCAATAGTGTTCTGATTCCAAGCTATGTCGTATTCCAATACAGCTCACACAGCGATCAGAATTTGAACACAAGAGTGTCGGCATTGCAAATTAGTAGAGTCTGAAGCGCGACTGGAATTAGTCTCACAAAATGCCAAATTTAGTCACACACAGTGTCGGAATATATGGATTAGGTAGGTTTGCATTCTAAAGGCTTTTAAATAAATATGGCAACATTTTATGACGTTTCATTGTTGCTGGCGCGTAGTGCGGTGTTTTGAGAGTGACGTAAAGCAAACAGAACTTGAGTTGCGCGTACGGTGTATTTTTTAATTTTTATAGCAATTCATTTTTTGCTATGTCCTTAAACTTAAAGTGTCGGAATATACCGCATTTACCCTAGTGACAAACCACGGATTTTTTAGAATCAGTTCATTTTTAACTTCCTCATTTACTCACAATTTAAACCAATTTCTTAGGTTTGATAATGCAGATATCCAGGATACTTTACTGGTCTACAGATAGAACTCAAAAATGAACTTGAGGGATGAGGGAGAGTCTAAAAAACTATCTGCTTTCAGTGCTTTGCAACTATGGTGTGAAATTCTAGTTACAGTGGGGTATCAAATTTACCAGGATTGGAATTTTCCTACTTGTTTCTGAAATCTCATGGCTCCAATATGACAAATTTTTAAAACATTTAGAATCTTGCAGCCCAGTCATGCAATTTTGTTTACAATTTGATAGGAGGGACCTAATTCATCTGGCAGAAATCTTGTAGTTCCAGAAATGGCAGGACCAGGAAAGCCCTAGTCACAGCCCTAAAGGTAGATGTTTGCCATGCTTGAAATTAACTAATAAACATGGCATATTTCAGAGGCCATCAGACTTTAGTCATAATATTAAATGACAGAATTTTCTTGTTGAAACACACACAATTATTGCCAGAGAATGCATTATATTCCAATTTTTAGGGCCTAGAAATTAGAATACAATGCAATAAATGCATTCTTTGGTATATATAATAATAATGCATTCACTCCCTAAAATTCTGAATAAAAAAATTTGTCAGATGACATTAATGGATCAAAAGGCAAGTCTGAGACACATTGACATATTGTTTGCATTGCAAGTTACAACTTAACAAGAAACATCAAACAATGAAATTTTGGTGGATATAAGTATATAATACATTTAAATAATATAAATTTAAAAATTTTTGAAACACATAGGGATTTTAATAATTATATCAAGGTTCAGACTTCAGATAATTCTGATAGTTTGCAAACATACAAAAATTCCATATTGATCAATGCCGGTGGTGGTTGTCTGGAGAAGAGTGATCTCTTCTGTAAAGTAGAAACCTTGAATTGTACTGGTCTGGTCAGTGGCAGGCATACAGTATATTTACTTGGTGAGCTGCAAAGGTGCTACTGGATTTCTCAAGCCATGGTTTTTTGGATTTGCCAGCCATGATTCCATTTATTTGACCTGTGAATTCCATATCTTGGCCATCATTGGCCATGAAGAGCCATTTACAAGCTGCAAACTTATTTTTAAAGTCTGTGCATGTGTTACCCCAAACCTCTAATTTTGTCCTAAAAACAGTCAAACAGCAACAATAAGATTTGTCTTTACTTTAGTGGCAACTGAACATGTGATAATGTCTTCTGACCACTCCGAAGTGACCACAAGTAGGCAATCTTCAACTAAATGTTTTGGGTTGACTCGTTATCATTACATTCTGTAGGATATTGTGGTGGGAGCATTGAACTACTGCGGATTGTGAAGTTAAAAATTTTATGAAATGACATACCTATTGAACACTTCTTAATTAGGCTTTTTATCAAGAAAATTTTAATTTTTGCATACAGCTTGGAACGAGCTGTATGTGTCTAATTCCAAGCTGTGTCGGAATTAGTTTTTATGTGACTAAAACCATCTCTTAACACTTTGACTACGTATTGGTACATATGTGTACCACAAAATGTATTTCTCCAGGAGGTAGTGGTACATAATTCAGGCTGCCTAAAATTGGGCCAAATCCGAGAACAAAAAAGGCCAATAATTCAATGTATACTAGTTTATTTGTAGGTTCCGCTATAAAAATTCCATTTATTTTCTTTTTGCAGAATTTAAAATTTAATTAGGAAGTACCCCTATCATAAATTTTAGCCGGCCAACGCAATTGAGAAAAACTAAATCGTGGAATTTGTCCAGAAAAAATGACTGTCTGGAGACCCTGCTTAATAAAAAGTACAAAAAATGAAATAATTGTACAAGATGAAGGAATCGTAGTCAACGTGTTAACTTAATCATCTATTAATTTTTTTACCACTTGAAATCAGCAAATACAAGTATAATTAAAAGATTCCTAATATATTCACAGATGTATTTAAAAGTCTCAAACCATAATATTCTTTCTACACAAACAGTTTCTCACTATTTGGTAGAGCAAGGTCAACTATCAACTTTGACACATATTTCAATGTTCTCACTGGGTGACGAGCACCGTCTCTCTTTGGATCTCAACATTTTCCCGCCAGACGGCCCAGACCTAGTGCTTTGGCAATAGTATGGCTGCTATGGCGCGCAAAAGTATGATGTCACTATTTCAACCATCAACGAATGCATGGAACTAAGAAAAAGCTTAATATAGAGGGAAAAAGTTGAGAAGTGTCAGAATTACCCCCGATGTCAGAATATACCGCGTTTACCCTATGCTTCACAGTGAAGTTCACAGTGAGTGAGTTCACACAATAGCTAGGCTAGCTAGCCCTAGGCACCACTGTGCAGAGAGTGGATGAATATTGCAAGATCTTTGGTGACACTTCAGTAGCAAAATTTACACCTTCAGAAGATCTTGCTGACACATTTAGATTGTAATTCTTGCATTTAATATATTTGTCAGTCTTTGGCCATCTATTTAGAAAAAAAGTAAGGTTTCCGGTACGTTGGATGGATCAGGATGCAGTAAAGCTTGTCCGGAAAAAGTGGAAATCGGTTGCGATGAGTTCCTGCCAAAAAAATGTAAACAAAATGTAGTTGCGGTCACATTAGAGCGATCAGACTGCATCATCTCATGTTCAGCTGACACTTGCTGTACAATCAGGCTGTTTTTAGGGTAAAATTAGTTATTTGGAGTAACATGTGCATGCAGCCTTGTAAATAAGTTTGTGGCTTGTAAATAGTTTTCATTACGCAGCGTAAATGGCTTTTCAATAAAAATTACCCGGCAACGCATTTTGAAAATGTCGGCGACGCTTTGGGCTTAAAAACCCATATATTGGCGACGCTGCTTCCACCTTCTGCACCCTAGCGGAGGTGGCTAGGCCTAAATCATATCACAAGTCACAACCCAGGATTATAATTTTCCTACTTCGGTATTACAGAAATCTTCCAGCTTGAGCGTAACATATTTTCAATACATTTGGAATCTTACAGTTCAATCTGGCACATAATCAATAATAAGATAGGAGATAATTTACAGTGGGGGGAAATAAATATTCGTACACTTGAAAAATAGTATTTTAATGTATGTAAGTACACAAACTTGACAGGAAAAGTGATTTAAATTATGTATAGAGACGCATAGTATTCAAAAATACTATCAAAAGAAATTAAATCTCAATGCAACAAAAAACAACGCAATATGTTCACTTTTCGGGGTGAAAAAAGTATTCGTACAAAACAATAAATCCGCATTATTTTAATTTAATACTTGGTTGAATACCCTTTATTCAGCTCAACAGACACCAGTCTATTTCTATACGTCTTGACCAATGATTTGCAGATGCTGACTGGTATTTTATACCATTCTTCTTGGCACACCACCTTTTCTTAAGGTGGTGTGCCAAGAAGAATGGTATAAAATACCAGTCAGCATCTGCAAATCATTGGTCGAGACGTATAGAAATAGACTGGTGTCTGTTGAGCTGAATAAATGGTATTCAACCAAGTATTAAATTAAAATAATGCGGATTTATTGTTTTGTACGAATACTTTTTTCACCCGAAAAGTGAACATGTTGCATTGTTTTTTGTTGCATTGAGATTTAATTTCTTTTGATAGTATTTTTGAATACTATGCATCTCTATACATAATTTAAATCACTTTTCCTGTTAAGTTTGTGTACTTACATACATTAAAATACTATTTTTCAAGTGTACGAATATTTATTTCCCCCCCACTGTAGCTTATGGATTATGGATATCTCTCCTAATGAAAAATTCATTCAAAATTTTCTGTCAATATTTCTTCATTGCTCTCCTTAAAAATCTGGTTAGCTCTTCATTTAGATTTAACATACAATGCCATATCTTACAGCTTATCGGTATATCTAAAGCATTTATTTTCATGACGCATTGTGAATTCTGGTAAGTGGTAACGGCAAGCGGCACAGGCGCACGGCTGACGTTCGTGCTGCTGTGGCCGGGCAGGCCGGCGCCCGCTGCGGCGGCGCTGCCCGGCTAGAAATTTGAAGGTGAAGAAGTAGCAGCACAATGACCA